GGAGCATGAAGTGGTTTGCTAAGATCACTCACATCTTTAAAAATTTTCTAAATAATAGTCAGAATATTACTCCTGAAAAATGTGTGGTAATAATTAAGCAATTGTAGAAAAGAAAAGGAGTTGGTTATTTCTTATTACAAATTTACTTAAGTTCATTAATGGCTATTTCAGAATATAAAATCCCTAGGAAGATGTGTGCAACTGATGAAATGCAGTTAAAACTGTGAAATAAAAATAGTTATTTGAGCATACTGAAACTGAGGATATTTAATCGTATATACTACATTTTCCTTTTTTAAATCAGTAATGATAATATTTTAAAATTTGTATTTCACTTACATGTTATTCAACAACTTAATTTTTCTATCAGATTCAATGATAGTCCTTAAGTATCATGTAAATGGAGCATAGACTAGTGTTTGATCTTTTTAAATATATTCATTTTTAAACGATAAATAGTTATTAAAGCTGCCACTGTTCCTATTTTTAAAAAAATCTTAACCATTATTTTTTTTATTCAATAGTTTTAAGTTTTCTTGGAAAGGTTGTTTAAACACTTATGGCTAATATCTTATCCTAATTGTAAGTTCTTTCATTAAATTTGCTTTTCACATAAATTTGCAATATTACTTTTATGAAGAAGGAATCATTAGTATTCCTTATGAAGACGTAAGTTAATTTTTTAAATAAATTATATGATGAACATTGTTATTATTTATCGTTAATTTTTGGAGTTTTCAAGTTTATATCAAGATGTTTAATTTTTTACTAATAAGATTTTTATTGAGATACATTATTATCGTTCTTAGTGGTGGTTGGGCTAAATGCAGTTGGGCTCCTCTGTGGATGTGTGGAACTTCATTAACTGGAAGTACTGTAGGAATTTATGGACTTGGTAGAATAGGTAAGTTTTATGATTATACTAAATTAATATATTATTACAAATTTAGAGTTACAGTTTATCTTCTCTTAATTAAGGAATTTGCACTTAAGAAATATTGTTTATTACTTATCATTTGCAGTTTTCAATCAAGCAGTTCAGGAACATTTTTAGTGACTCCCTATCTTGGAGAGATATTATTTTTATCCCTACTTTGCTCACCATACATACACCAAACCTTTTCTGAGCCTATAAAAAATTACCTTTTATGGTTGGCTCCAACCACACAGGTGTCTAACATAACACTGAGAAAAACCTGATACAAGGCCCACCTAACTTATTAAAATCTCATTGGCTCTGATAATATCTAATTTCATTTAAAAGTTAAATCTCTTTTTAATGAAAACTGTTATTGCAGAAATTTTAATGTTGCAGAAGAAATTTATTAACTATCACATTTTTATAATTTATTAACCCTTCTGAAATTACGTTATGAATTATCCATTTACACTGAGATAAAAATGAACTACAAAAGTATTGTACTGTTCATTGGGGGGGGGAGGTAGTTAACAAACACTAATTCCAATAATGCTTGAAACTTTACTTGTTATTTGTGAAACATTATATTATACTCATGCATACAAAACAACACTCAAATATAACTAATTGATTTGAAGTGACCTTCCAAGTAATGAGAGAGAGAGAGAAATTCACTTGATTTCTCTGAAAGCATCAGTATTGACAATACTAATTAACGAACATTTTGAAAAGTGTAGAGGGAAAAAATACTGATTATTCGATAATTAGATTACTAGTTGGATAGGAATGAGGAGTTCTATGTTTTTAAGGGATTGGGTAGTAGTAAAGATAAAAAATAAGAAACCAAATCCCTTCTCACCAACCATGTCAGCTACAGTTTTTTATTTTGCCTATAATCTCAGACAAAATATTATTCTCAAGTGTCAAATATTTAATATTATAAAGAAATGTTTCTTACCTCATTTTATTATTTTTGAGCAATGAAAAATAATGAATTTCTCAATTGTTCATAAATATATATGTTTATTTATTTATTTTTTTAATAATTTTATGTATTTTTGCAATAATTATTAAAATTTTCAGTGCACATTTTTTTTATCGAAATTAGGAAACTCATCGAATAGTTATTTATAAAGTAGTTTGTTTATATGATAATTTTTAAGTAATAGTACCATTTAAAACGTTACATTATAAACTAAAAAAGCAATAAAAATTACACACTAGTTCTGAAGAATCATTTTTGATAAATGATGTAAATTCATTTATCTGTTAAATTAAAACAAAATCAATACCCAACAGATGAGATAAGAATACTATTCAATTAATTTGAAAATACACAACTCAAAAGTATAACATTTTACAAAAAGAGGGAATTAAGTTTTCAAATGAAAAAAAATAGGATAGATAAATTTATTCAGCACTTCGAATTGAAATTTGCGAAGATGTGAATGCAGCTCTTTAATCTAAAAATTCGTATGGTATTTAATGCCCATTTCCATGCGTACAATATGTTCTTTTAGATGTGAATAATTAATCATATTTCACTCATTTTTTTGTCCTTAATTTAAGATCCAGGACACAAATCTAGGAGTATGTATCACTTCTTCACTGCCGAAAAAGGCAACAAACAATTTTATTTTTTTTAATTTTGTTCCCTGTCAAATGATTTATTTTCAGTGAAAACAATTTGTTTTGAAAGAGAAAAAAAAATTTGTCCCTTATTTTTGTAGTAATATGTTATTAAAAGAAAGAAACGAAAATTTGAATTATTCTGTTTTCAATTGGGACATTCTGAATGGTATTAAAATAACATTGGATCAGTGGAACAGCAAATTAGACTTAATGTATCAATTGATATAATAAAAGAGTCTTTGTAATCAGAATTTTTATTAAAGAGTGCAGACTGTATCAGTATAACAAAATTTTGTTCTTCCAATTTTCTTAGTGTATTTGAATTAGTCATTACTTGATTCAACTTTATAATTCAAGCTAATTCACTTTGTTGTGTCATTTTGTTTTATATTTTCAATTTCATTTAATATCTCAAATATCTGTGTATAATGATTGCTTGTTTCATAACAATTTCTCTGAACTTTTTATTCGACGTAGTATACACAACTTATCTGTTTGAGTATTTACATTAATTCAATTCAATATATATATATATATACAGTCAATTCGCTATAACTCGAAGTACGATAACTCGAATATTACTATAACTCGATTTTTTTATGTGGTCCCGACCCTTTTATCTTCAATTTCATGTTAATTATTCTCGATTACTCGAATTTTACTCCCTTTAACTCGATTTTTTTGGATCTTTTAAAGCAAGAAAAAAAACCTAGGAGCTGATATCTTGCCCCCTCCTTTGCAACACACACACAGTCTTTCGCACTCTTCATGGAGAAGCTAAAGCTGTCCCTCTTGAAGTATGTGAACAGTGGTTAAATAAAACGTTACCAAATTTACTTCAAGGATACAGTTAAAATGATGTTTTCAATATTGATGAAACGTGTTTATTTTTTAAATGTCTTCCAAATAAGACTATGATGTTTAAGGATGAAAACTGCTCAGGGGGTAAAATGAGCAAGGAACGTTTGACTGTCCTAGTTGAAAGAAATGCGTCGGGGACAGAGAAATTGCCCTTACTTGTTATCGGAAAATACCGAATTCCCCAATGTTTCAAGAATGTAAAAATTTATCCTTTGGATTACAAGTCTAACAAAAAGTTTTGGATGACATCAGTTTTATTTGAAGACTATGTAAGAAAATTGAATCGGAAATTCTTCGCTAAGAAAAGAAAAGTGATATTCTTTATGGATAAATGCACAGCGCATAGTGATCTACCTTATTTAAAAGCAGTAAACTTGCAGTTTCTCCGACCAAACACAACAGCAAAGCTGCAGCCGATGGACCAGGGTATCATAAAGTGCTTCGGACAGTCTTATCGTAAATGGCTTGTCAGAAAAATGATCTTAAATATTGTAGGCATTTAGAGGATTTGTAATTAATAAGCATTAATTAAATAATCCGACAATATTTTGAAAGTCCAAAACCGAAACTAACGCTAAGTCAAACTTCCGATATGTCGAAGTTTTTCGTCAGTCCTATCAGATTCGAATTCTCGCGAATTCACTGTATATATATATATTGCCTAAATAGAGTCCATGCATTTTATGATGTTCATTTTTAAGCAAGAATTCATTTCAATGTTCAAAATCACATTTCAATGTCATGGCTATCCCTACAGTTTAATTAGGAAACATATTGTTATGAGTAATTTTGATTATTTATACATAAGAAAAATAAAGTGTAAAGTTTACATATAGTTTAAAGTTGACATGTGTATTCTATTGATTTTTAAACTGAAAAGCCTGGTAAATAATTGGCTTTATTGATTATAAAGTGATCTTTGGAATGGGTAGATATTTTTATAAAATTTCCTTTTATCCTAAGCAAACAATTTTTGATGTAACTGTATTAAAAATAAATAAATAAACAAAATATAACAAATAATAAGAATACTAGACTTTATCTACTAAATAGATTTTATTGTTTTCAAATTGGCTGCTTTTTATTGTGATACAGATATACAAGCGCTGATTGAAATTTTCAGCTGTGTGCTGCAAGTCTTCTACCTTTAATCTATTCCATTTCTGCTGAAGTAATTGCTTTAGAAACTCCAAACTTTTGTGTATCTAGCAAACCAACGATTTCACACTGTACTGTTCCATGCTTTAACAACTCTAAAATAGCAAATTTTTTCCTTGACATTTTAAAAAGGCCAAAGAACAATATTTACACTTAGTGATATATTATAAAGTATTTTATTAAAGTGGTTGACAAAAAAATAAAAACACGAATTAAAAAGAAATCAGTTATTTTCTATTATTTAATGCAATGACTTTGTCTGATTTTTTTTGCCACACCCTGTACAGTTTATATTATTGCTGCTTTAAATTGCTTGCTTTATTTATTTATTTTTGTAGCATAACTTAAAATTCAAAAATATATATTTTTAGACATGAAATAAATATAACGTACTTTTTACTATTTTTCAGGTTTTGGTGTTGCGGAACGTCTTAAAGGTTTCAAAGTTAAGGACATTATATATGCCGGAAGAAAAGAGAAGCCTGAAGGTAATTTTCCTTTCGTGTGAGACAGGCATACTTTTCATGTGTTTCCTACTGTATTATTTTTCACATACCCAATAATATTTTTAGGGAACCATTTTTCTATTAATTTAGCTATGAGAACGTAAATATTTGCATACATTGTAGAGTGCTGCTTTTATATTTAAAAATTTGCATGCTAAATATCTTCAGAGTATTTCCATGTGTCAACCCATCAAAATATAACAAATAATAACAGGGCTACATTCCGATTATCATTGGTGTGTTCATCTTTAGAAATGCAGTCAAAAGCCATAATAAGATATCAAAAGGTTTATTAAAAGTTATGCTGGTGGTTATAACAGTTCACATCTCCACTCCACAAGGGAGGGGGTGTGGACAAGACTCCAGATGGTTCTGGCAGATGTTTATTGGAACACGTTATTCAGCAAGAGACATGCGAAAACCTTCGGTCCAATACTACAGAGATTGGTGTAATTAGGTTCCAGTCGTATATACCTTTTTAACTCTACTCATTATTTAACATCATTTACTGCTTCCTAATATGGAAGTGAAAGGGGGACAAGATTCTAAAAATAACTCCTCCTTTGAAATATAAATCTAATTATAATTCAATGGTATGTTTTCAGCTTTGAATTCCCAAAATAGAATATCTCTACTCTTACTCTTTAACAGAGACATTTTATGAAACCGAAAGAGTTTTAATTCTTTTATTAATACAAAAGTATTTATAATTTTTGTATTACATCCCCCTCAAAAAATTTTTGGTAAGCCAAAAAGAAAATTTAGAATACTTTAAATTTCTAAAATTTAGGTTGGTACGACTGTTCCTTTTCCCTACCACAAATAACATCTTTTCAATTATGAGAAGAAGAAAAATTATTTACAATGACAAAAATATAAAAAACATGATAATGCAATTTATCTGTTTAGTAACTAAACAAAAAGAAAAATTAAACATATTTATATAGCCAATCTACTAAAATTTTTCACTCAAAAATATACAAAATTTTTATGCAAATGAACTGGACAACATGTGTCATTTATTCAGAATTTAAGATCCTGTGTGGTTAAAAGGGGTTATTTACTTGATGAAAATCTGTATTCCCCGTTTAAATGGAGGTGACTCACTGTGCTGACTTAAAATATTCTCCGTGGTTAATGGATTATGGGTTATAATCTCCTTTCTGTCGAGCTAAATGTGGGTGTTTTTAGAGGTTTTCCTCTATGTATAACACAAAAGTGAGTAAGTTCCCTCGAAAATCCTCAACAAAGGCTAGTTTGCCCCAATGTTTTATCTAAGTATTCCATTGTCTTCTACATTTGATTCAAAATTACAAGGCTTTGGAGTTGAACATTGATGGGTTTAAACTCAAAAATTGGTTGGCTGTTCAACACCAGCTTTTAAATAAAATCTTTTAAATTAATAGATTGCTTCAAAAGATAGAAAAGGGATAGGTGATTTTGAAATTTTGAGGAATCTTATCAATCACATTAAAATCAAAGTTTCATCTTCAGGAAAAATTAAGTAGAAACAAAAATTCGAAGGGTTGACCATCCATGCTAAAACTTAATGTTTAAAATTTTAAATACATCATTCATCTAAGAAATTAAGTTATTTATATTACGGAATTGTATTTTTAAAATTCAGCTTTTAATTTTATTTTTCTAAAGACTGTAATTCCTGTCTAGTGAACAGGTGGGGAGATCTCCAGTCAAGGCACTTTTGCACTATTCTAGGTAACTAGATATAGTACTTTGTTTGTAATGCCGTATCAGTTAAGTACAGGATAAATTAAAATTAGCTAAAAAAAAAAATCGTACAGATTAGTACAAAGTTGTTTCATTATTTATCGGAAGCTTGTAATTGTGCGAAAAAATATTATATGAAGAATATTTATATATTTTCTCATACTGATTCGCTAAATATGTATGTATATACCAAATTTAAAGTTAATCTTAGTTTGTGAAGCATTTATTTTAATTTGTCAAACTTAGGTTGCACACCATACATATTCTGGTAATTAATCTTTCAGACATTGAGTGCCATAATTAAATTTTGCAGAAAATTTTCTACAGTGGAAAGTCGCGTATCCGGAAT